TAACATCTTAATTCTTTCTTCATCCCCTTCTCCTCCCTCCCTCCCCCACACTCCATCTCTTGTTCCCCTTCCCATTTGAGAAAGATCTCCCTACTTCCTTTTATCTTTTATGTTGCTCTTTATTTATATTTTGAGTTTCTCAAATGAGGTCAGACATGTGGTATTTAAGCTTGTGTGTCTGTTTTATTTTACTTTATCATTGTAGCCTCAAGGTATAGAGGTTAGCAAAGGAGTGTCTTATCCAGAACTACTAAGTCTCTTCAAATATCTTGGTAATGGGAACATCTTTTCTTCTAATTGTGCAACTCTTGGGCTCCTTCACAATGGGGGTTATTCACTGTAATGGCCAGACCATGATCAGAAACTTGGAACTTTTGGCCCCATCTCCCATCCTGCAGCAGGGAGGGGACTGGAGACTCAATAATGTGATAAAGTGAAAACATTTAGGGCAAAGTGCTATGAATAAAGGAACTATTTTGTTTTCCTTCATTGACATTTTTGTTTCTCTCATCATTTTTTGGATTCTGTGTTTTTAAACCAAATCTTCAAAGACAAGTGAGATTAGTAACTGTTTATTGATTATTTTGAACCATGTTTATTTCTGGTTCTGGGGATGGAACCCAGGTCCTTGCATATAGTAGGCAAATGCTCTACCACTGAGTTAGACCCCTAGCTTCATGGCTTGAACTTTTTATGATGCCCTCTTTCCTGTTTTCCAACATGTAGACATTGTAAAACAACTTTTTTTTTTTTACTAAAACTTGGGCTTAATTGAAAGTAGTGGTTTGGTGCATTTGAAAGAGTATTGCACTGGGAACCAGAATTTGGATCTAGTTTGTATAATCTCAAGCAGATTATTTTCCCTTTCTTTACTCAGATTCTCCTCTAGGGACTGGGTGGGATTATGTAAGAACAAAGCAGCTTTTTTAAAGTACATTGACTCCTTCCTGTCTCTCTCACCAAGAGTATACAATTCTCTTATCATCTCCCATTTCCACCCACATCATATCAGGAGAGAAGCATTGTATGTGTTATAACCTTCCTATGTGCTAGTGTTGAAAAAGGTTGGGTATGAGCAAAGGTGAAGCTTTCTTCCAGCTCTGAAATTGAAGGTTCATCATACTTGAGTTATACACAGGCCAGTGTAAAAGGCAAATATTAACTTCTTAGCATATAATATAAGAAGGCTGTGGATGTAGCTTAGTGGCGCTGTACCTGCCTGGCAAGTGAAAGATCCTGAGTTCAATTCCTGGTACCAAAAAGAAAAAAAAATCCGTGTGATTTCTTATCTTTTGATCAAAAATTACTGTGTTTTAGTCCCCTTTCGTCACAGATCACTATAATTTGGCGGCTTTCCCTAATGCCATAAAAATTGCAACTCTCCTGTTCTGTACAATTTTTTATAACATACACTACTCATAGCAAAACTGTACTCCACGAGGACAAGGGCTACCTCTGATTCTACTCACCATTGTACCACCAGCAGTGCGAATTTAATACTAGCTATTCAATAAATGTCCAGTGAGTGAATAAATAAACAAATTAGGAGATAAGGGTTAACCACCAAAAAAAGCTGTTCTGTTGAATAGGTACACCCTAGTTGCTAAGTGCAGAAACAGATGAGAAAGAGAAGTTCCTGGAAATCATTTTGTGTGGCAAGAGTGGATCTTTAAGAAGTGCAGGGCTGGCTTGAGAATTTTGTGAGACTACCCACTAAATTTTAACTACTTGTGGCAAAATAAATAATTTGGTACCCTCTCTGAATAGGGATTATTCCAAAATAATTTAATCAAAGCTTAAGTCAGAATATTTTCTGATCCAAAGATGAAAAAGAAGAAAATGTTTTGTTCCCTTATTGGGAAGCTTTTAATATATGAGCCCATTCTTGTCCAAGTGAGATTTAGTGAGCAGAATTGTGTTACACTGGTATCTTACAGGGATTCAAGAGTCATAACAAATGTCCATATTGGGTGTATCATTGATGTACTAAAGGAGACTGGAATGAAGTTGCACTGACCAGAGAGACTATAAGTGGGCTGAGAAGATGGCAAACCCCATGGTTTGATTTGAGAGGGCTGACAAGATTCCTTTTTCTATGAATATCTTCCTTACATTGTTTCAGTATCTGAAATTCCCCCATTTAGACTCTGAATTATGGGTTATCTATGTTCAAGAGTCCCCTTTCAAAGGTAAATTCTCCTGATCTGGGCATGGTGGTGCATCCCTAGAGAACCAGCTATGTGGGAGACTGAGCAAGAGGATTACATCATTTGGAGGCCAGCCTGGACAACATAGCTTGACCCTGTCTCAAAAAAAAGGGAAAACTAAGATAAAAATTGTACGTCATTTATTAATCTGAATGAGATGACTGGGTGATGAAAGTTCATGTTCCCTGGACAAGAAAAGGTTATAGAACAGCCACCGTTTAAAGGGGGCCAAGAGTAGGGGTTGGTCTTGAGCAATGAATCTTGCCTGAGGGATACAGACCTCTAGGTCACTGAGCTAGTAAGAGCATAGGAATCTTGGGTGTCTGGAAAATAAGGCACTGCAAAGGCCAGGAATGGGACTGAGTAAAAATCCAAAGGTATGTACTTGCCCAGCTGGACAACATGTACTCTATGTGTATTTTCAAATCCAGGCATTTTTGTCTATTTGTGTAATTCACAAGTTTAATAAGTATGACTGCTGTGTTTTTGTGTAAGTAACTATTTAATCTTGGATTCAGGCAGCCTGTAACCCATCTGAAATTGTGTGTGATACTTTATGTGTAAGTATTTTTCAGGAGATTCTCAAGGTAATCCAGAACTACAAAAAGGTTAAAAACCATTGATCAACCTACTCATCCATATGTTGAACAGAACAGTGTTAATAAGGACAAGATTCTATAAGACCAGTAGTGCCTTCCTGGTTAGCAATGATTCATCAGAAATGTTGGACTTAGTATTGACTATTATATGTCAGTCTTATGATTTGCCTATATCTTAAAAGTGGAAGGGATAAATGACCCAGCTACTTAGACATTCTGGTCATTGACTTTTTTTATACTGTTGGTGGTTAGTTTTTAATGTCTAAATATTAGGCTATTCTTCAGATCATCATTTTACTTCCTGTACTATTCAGTATATGTCATATAGTTTGTTATTTTCTGTGAATGGAATTGCAGATGCTTCAAATATCCCTGAGAATGGTTACAAACTGACACAATAAAGAAAATACATAAGTTAAAGCTTGCTGACTACTCTCTCCATGACTCTAGACATGTAATTTTTATTTCCATCAAACCTAAACATTATTCCTCAATTTGGTATATGTGTGATCTATATAGAAAGGAGTTTGCAATTTAAAGAAAATCTTTTACATGAGTGTAAATAAGGTTCAAATTGTATAATTGATAATGTGAAATAGGAATAAAAGGGCAAAAGGATTAGTGGAAGTGGGAAGGGTAGGGGAACGGAAAGAAGGGAAAAGAAAAAATGAGAAAAGGAAAAAATGGAAACAAAGTCTTTGTAAATAGGGAAGGGTGGAGGGGGTGAAGGGAGAGCAGGGGAATGGAGAAAAAATAACCAAGATACATCATGTAAAGGTACAAGATCCCAATGATGAATGTAACTGTACTTTGTACCTAAGAAATACCAATAAACTTAACGGGGAAAAAAAGAAAATCTTTTACATGAAAATGTAAAAAGATGTGATAAGTTTGAGATTCATTACCTCACTTGAAAAAGCTTCATCTTAGAAGTCTCTCACACACACACACAGACACACACACACACACACACACACACACACACATACTGTATGATCCCATTTGTATGAAGGTCAAGAAAAGGGAAAGATAATCTCTATGAAAAATAAATCAGTGGTCGCTGAAGTCTAAGGCACAATGGAATTGCACAAAAGAGCATGGGAGAACCATTTTGGGCTTATGGATGTTCTATCCAGATGGGTATGATGGTTTCATGAGTGCGTACGACTGTGAAAACATCAAATTATACACTTAAAAAGGGTGCAGTTTACTGTGCATACATTACATGTCAAGAAAGTTGCTTATTAAAATATTTACGTGAAAAAGATTTATCTTAAAAATCATTATTGAGCTTTGAAATAAGATTTAAAATATAATTGATTACACTATGAAAAAGTCTACCTATAAATTTCTTCAAGGTGTGATATGAGTGAAATATGATCATGAAAAAGCTTTGTAACAGTTGAAGAGCAGCTATCAATGCATCTTAGCTAATATCTAGCATTTACACAAGAATAAATTTGCTTCATTACTGTGGAATCTACCAATAGTAAAATGGACTATTTAAATAATTCGTTGAGATTATCTCAAACAGACCTTGTGTTCATTTAGAACACCTTCTTAGTCTTCTCCCTCAAAGTAAGTAGCATCAGTTACAGTGATAACATCATAGCTTATTCAAAGCTAAATTCTACATCACTTATGATATCAGCACTTTGTATTTACTGAAGGAAATTGTATTTGAAATCATTTGCCTGTATATGTCATTTGGCACTTAAAAATTAGATTATTTTCAGAATTTGTTATGGTCAGATATTGGGCACCAGGGTGATTCCTTGGGAAATATAACATGATACATGAAGCATCAATTGTATGATTTGGCTTTAAATGCTATGTACCAAATAATGTGTACCTTTTCTTTATATATTCTCTGATGTTTGTGGAGAATGTCTTCCTAATCTATGAGCTATGTGCTTGAATTCTTTCCTTAGTAGTAAATATAAAAATGAATAGGAAAGCCAGAAAACTAATCCTATATATTATATTGAATCTAATTAATACTACTTTGTCATGTGTGCGTGTGGAACACAACAAAATAGATGAAAAATAAGAGAACCAAGATTTTTTGCAATGAAATGTTTGATGTTGCAAAACTCTTTCAATTGTGTTAGGAATCACTTGCCTTGTCATTTGTTATGCTTACATGTTAGTACAATTTTAAGTATTCTATAATAATAATAAAGGAACCCTTGCATTTATTTAGCAGTTAACTTGATCCGTTTATTGGGATTGATGGTAAGAATGAGCACTATGTTGGAAGAGAGTTGGTCTGAATGTAGAGAGAAGGTGGGGATTGGTTAGGTCAACTGAATTTCAAATGCTAGTAACAGGTTCCTTAGTGATGAATGCTGTACTTAGAGGTGTAGTCTATGTCTTAACCACACCCTTTTCCTCATCACACTGGGGCTCAACTACTGCCACAGGCTCTTGTTCCACCTCTGGCTCCGGCTCTGGCACTGGCTGTGGCTGCAGCTCTATCTTAAGTTCAGGCACACGCACAGGTGCTGCGGAAGAGTCTGGTTGTGGAAAAGGCTCATGGTCTGGCCCCGAGGTGGCAGCGGGCTCATTTTCATGAATGGAGGATGGCAGTGTTGCTTCCAGCTGGGTGGTGTCTTCAGCTGGCATTGTTTCAGTTTCTCTCACTTGGCTTGTCTTTGTCATTGGTCTGCAAGAAAGAACACCCAGAAAACAGTAAGGGAAATGCTAACATTGAAATTTCACATGGAGTGATATACACTGCAGCATCAGTAATGTAGGTCCCAGACTGTTCAGAATGTCTGTTAATTCTATTTTGATTCACTACATGTGTTCATTTTGGGGTTTAGAAAGGTTAGGTCTCAAATATGATGAAAGTTCAAGAAAATCAAACCATGTTTAAAAGATGGGAAAATGATAAGGAAAAAAGTTTAAGAAGCTAGTAAGGTCTTAGATTTGGTCTATTAAGGACTAAATCCATAGCTCTGATGTGTCTCTATCTCCGACTCCATTTAGTACAATATGTGGCACCTGCTTGGTGCCCAATAGAGTTGTGGAAGCAAGGAAATGGCAAAATGAACAAATGAATGAGTATGATCTACACTAGAGAATAAACAGCAGAGTGGTTAAGAGCCTGAGTTGTGGGAAGGCCACATTCTGACTTCTGTGGGCCATAGGCACTTTTGCATTCATGGGGCTCAATCTATTAAAAAAAAAAGCTATATTTATAACTATGTTGATAAAGTCAAACACAGTAACACTGTATCATAAAACATTTTATTGGTTTTAGAAAGGTTGTTGTAATGGTTAAATGAGTCCATATGCATAAAGTGCTTAGAACATATTCTCACTCAGCAAATTGTAATCACGATCATTGTTTTTGTAGAAGAATAGAAAGCAAGCAGAAAGATGAGACCTCTAGTATTTTATGTTATAAGGGGTGCTTAGAAAGAGCTGACTTAGAGAGATATGCCTGAGAAATGTTTTTATTCAGTCAAATAAAGGGCTTACTCAAGCTCTGTGGTGGATTTAGAATGCCTCTTCTTTTCCTTTGCCTTGGTTCTAGCAAAGTACACCACAGCAATGATGATGGCAGCGCCTAGCAGGATGCCAACTAAGGCCCCAATGATGATCCCAGCTTCTGGATCTGGAAGATTCAGGCAGCCAATTAGTAAATTAGAACATACTGTCACCTTGTACACATGCATTCCACTAGTGGAGAACATTTGGAACATTCACATAGCAGGATAGTTACTTGTACAGGTTAGGGAAGTAGAAACCCCTAGAACTCTGCTGGATGGATTCATAGCATCTAAAGAAAAATGACTGCCTTGAAGAAAAGTTACTGTCTTAACTATGTAGTTAACCACTGACATACATATAAGAAAAGAACCAATTTGGGCAGGCAAGGTTGCTTTCTAAAGGGATTTAGAGAAGGAAGGGCAGTGTGAACACCAGAAATATGCCTCTGTGACAGCAAAAACATTTCACCAGATTTTCCCAGTGCATGGGTGAACAAGTCCTTAAAACTTTTCCTCTTCATACACTCTGTGCTCACCACAGAGTCTAGGGCTTTGTGGCCACTGGGAAGGGATATGGTCACTTCACTAAAAAGTCTTATTACATCAGTCTATGAACATTTTTAATTAATGTGAGACAATCCAGCTGAGCACCAGACCTTCAAGCCTGGAGGTGTTGTCCCTTTGAGAGTACGTCTGGGTCATAAGCTAGCCAGTGCATGTCCGCTTAACCTCAAAGAAGGATGAATAATTAATATTCAGATGAGTGACTGAGTTGCCTAATGAATCCTTTAAAATTTTATGAATAAAGGAGTACATGTGAATTGGGGGGGGTGTGCCAGGGATCAAACTCGGGACCTTGTACTTGCGAGGCAGGTGGCAGAACCACTGAGCTAAATCCCCGGCCCACATGTGAATACTTTTGAAAGTTAAATCGCTCTAAACTAACAAACACAGCAGTCCCTAACCCACTTATCCCTATTTTTGAGTCCCATTCAGTAATGGCAACCACTCTGGATCCTTTTTTTAAAATCTTGGCCCCATGGTTCTATTATGCTTGTCCCAGTATGGCCTGCCTTTTTCAATCTTCCATATTCCCTTTTTACTTCCTACTCTGGAAGTTGGAGATTTACTTCCCCTGAAGCCCCATCACACTCTCCTAATATAGTTACATCACAAGTTTTAGTTAAATCAAAATTGCAGTATTATGACTGTGTAAATATTGTTCTCAGCTGAAGCACATAGTATACTGTGATTCTTCCTTGCACAGCATTTTTTCTAAAAAATTCCCAGCATTAATAATTGCCTCATTTGGGGGATTTGTTTACATTTTTAATGCATCATCAGTAATTTGAAAACTTCCAGAAAATCATTAAATTATTTTCAATAGCTTCAAATGCATCAGATATCTGTTTTTTAAGTTGTTTTTTTCTGTCAGAAACAACCTTTCTGGAGTTCTCTTCCCTCTTTGTGCACCACAGACTTGTTGTCTTTCTATGTCTGCAGCTCTGCTTTTATCCCTCATCATCCCCATTTTATAGATAAAAAACAGGCTTCACAAGTTCCTTCAAGGGGCAACTAAGATAGTACTTGGTTGGCAAAGCTGTCCCTCAATCTATAAGCATAATTGTTACTTCTTTAGTGTCCTAGTAGACTCTGCAGATCTCTATTGTGGCATCTAGCACAATTTAGTTTTTATTGGTCTATAGCTGAACTGTGAATTTCTTGAGCATAGAATATATCCAGTATCTCTCTCACTTAGAACAGCCCCTGACACACAGAAGACATTCAATAAATGCTTCCAGATAGAAGGAAGGAGAGAAGGTAGAAAGCATGGAAGGAAGGAAGGAAGGAAGGAAGGAAGGAAGGAAGGAAGGAGGGAAAGGAAGGCAGGAAGGCAGGCAAGAAAGGGACAGGAAGGAAAGGGAGGAAGAAGGAAAGGAAGGGAGGGAGGGAAGAAGGAAAGAAGAGAAGGGGGAGAAAAGAAGGGAGGAAGGAAAGAAAGGAAGGAGGGAGGGAGGTGTAAGGGATTGAAGAGGGGAGGAATGGAGGTAGGAAGACAGGCAAACACTGTATATCACTGGAAGATTAGAAAGGAAGCAAGACTCAAATATAAATCCTATGTGTCTATATATCTACAACATGATTATATCTCTGGGAAGGCAGAAAGGGCCTGGGAGTGATCTAAAAACATCAAAACATCCTGGGGGGAAAGCTGGAAGTGACATGAGAATATAAAGGAATGCGTTTCAGAACAAATAAAGAAGAAAGCTCACCTTCATAAGAAGAGTAGTAATCTGACAGAATTTGACACTCCTGGATATGGCATACATTAAAACTACGAATTCAAAGTATGTCAGAAAAATTAATAGATAACAAGACCCTAAGTGTTATTTAGTGATTGTCAAGAAGCTCAGTAGGACATCTCACATAAGAGTTTGCCCTGGATTTGCCCAGTTTGCTAATTCCAGGGCCCATAAGTATTACACTTAGAGAGTAAGTAAGCATCTTTGAACTGGAAGATTGAAGTTTTAGAGGTATATTAGTTGGCTCGGCCACTTATGAACAGAATGATGTTGGGCAAGTTCAAGGAGCTGGATTCAGTTACTTCTTCAATAAAATATAGCTAAAAATATATTGTGCCCTCCCTAGGTTGGATGTATGGGAGGGTTGAATGAGATAATGCTCATATAGCACCTGGCCAAGTATCTGGCACATAATGATAATACTGCTGCTAAATAAGGCACACCACTCTCAAGAAAGGCAGGAAGGACTAACAAGAGATCCTAAATAATTTATTTGGTTTACAGAGTGGACTACTTGACTCAAAGAGAAACTGTTATAAAGTTGTGGGATCAACTCACATGAAGAGGTTAGATCAATTTCACAGGAACTATTGCCAAGTTTGTTGATGGCAGTACATTGGTAATACCCTTCTTCAAAATTTGTCAGATTTCCAATAACCAAAATCCCAGTGACTGGATCTGTCAAAACCAGGAAACAGACTTTGAAGACCTTTTAATTGGGTACAGATCATGTCATTGTAACAGATTATTCATTGCCCACCCATTTCCCCCACATTGGCCTCGCTTTCTTGTGATGTCCAACTAGGGCCTGCTAGGACCATGGCTATTCCTTCCATACTCACCACCTCTCCCCTGCCCTGTACAAGTTTGGGGTTAGACCATACCAGAATCATCATGTTAGGAAATGGATAATCTTTTTAAATTTCACTCCCTTTTCAAGAAAAAGAGAAGATTGAACACTAAGGACAAGCGGCTGGTCACATACTTGTTAACCTCAAACACCAAGCATTGACAGGGACTGCCAAAGGTGATACTTACTGAAGCTTTCTTTCACTGGCACAGTGTTTCTTCCCTCAAGTTTATACCAATAGTACACAGGAGATGGTGTTCCAATTGCAGAGAGGCAAGAAAGAGAAATAGTATGGCCTGTTTCTGGACTTCCTTGGAGGCTACAAAAAGGCTTAGAAGGTTTGACTGTAAGACAATAACAAAGAGTAAAACTCCTGCAAGGTGAATGGCAGCCCATGACAACAAAGTCACTTCCTCACTTTCATTTTACAGAATGCATTTATTTATTTATTTATTTATTTATTTATCTATGCAGACTGATTTTGACAGCTTTCTAGTTGTACCAGCAGATGGGAGTAGAGCACTTCAGGTTGAGGGGACCCTGTAGACAGGAGGCCATTAAGATTCAAATAGTGTCTTCTCTGTCTCCTCCCAGACTTATAACCATGAATTTCAGCATTATGCCTTAAAATATGCCTTCATTAAAACAGTCAAATGTAGGCAGACACTAAATGACTAGGAACATAGCTAAAGTAGTCTTAAAGGAAACTAGAACTCAAATATTTTTAAATAATCTAGTTTTTATTCTTTTTAAATTTTATTAATACTGTATTTTTTATTCCTTTATAAGTCTTTTTTTCTTTTATTCATCTGTGGGTGATATGCAACAGTTGGAAGGTTTGAATTTGCTTGTGTCCCTCCCTAATCAATAAGGGAAGCCCATTTGAGATGTGTGCTACATGACACTGCAATCTGTATTCCTCATTTACTCAGCAAGCATTTAGCTATATGCTTTCTGTGTGCTCAGCACCAGACTAGGCATCAGAGATTCAAAACCAAGTTTGGTGCAGTTCTGAATCAGGGTAAGGGATGTGACTGCAGATGAGATTATAGAGGAATCAGGGCCCATTTGGAAACTTTTGTAGTCCATGTATTTTATACTGAGCGCAGGGAGACCATGGAATAAATCTAAGTAGAGTGCTGATGATGGTCATTTTAACATTTTCGATGGATCACTCTGGCATTATGGGTAGCTGAAACAAAGGGGAAGAGGAGACAGGCTCAAACGCTATTAGGAATATTAGAAAGAGTCAACAGGATTTGGTGACCAACTGGATATGGGGCGTAAGGAAGAGAGTTGGATATATGGTGACTCCCAGGGTTCTTACTTGGATAAATGAATACACTATCTTGCCATCACTTGAGATTAAAAAACATCTCTGATAGAGGAGCAGGTCAATGTGGGGGAGGGATGATAAGAAAAAAGAGATGATAAGGTGTTTGGAACATCTTAGCTGCTTATGAAAGTACCTAGGTAGAGAAGTTCTGCAGGAAGCAAGGAATCTGAATCACCTCATTCAACTTTTCAGTTTCTTCTGTCCTTAATCATATACAGCATGCAATGATCTGAAGTTATATACTTTCCAATCCACCTTCCTTATCTTAATTTGGATATCAAACCCACCAAAGGCTGGCATTCTCTAAATTAGGCAAGTTATATCTTAAGTGGTTTGGACCACTTAGCCTTCCAGTAGTAGTAGTAGTAGTAGTAGTAGTAGTAGTAGTAGTAATAGTAGTAGTTGCTATCATCACCACCACCATCATCATCATCATCATCATCATTATTGTAATACTAAGAATCAAACCCAGGGCCATGCACATACTAGGCAAGCATTCTGCCACTGAGCTGCATTCCTGCAGCCTTCCTGCTCCTAAGGCACACAGTAGTTAAGGGCACCCAGCTCTGCATCCACACAGAATACTAGCTCTGCAACTTTGCCTTTGATGTGTTTGGGCAAGTTACTGAACTTAACCAATCCTTGGTTGATACATCTATAAAATGTGAATAATAGATCATCTAAGCTCTTGCTGATCCAAAGATTAAATAAAATAACACATACAGGGTCTTTCACATGGAACTATTGCTGGCTAATTGCTGCTACTATTGTTAATCTTTCCTCGCTTTCTGCTCTATTCAGCCATTTCATAGTCCAACCCCTTCTGCCCATGAGCAAAAAGATGTGCCTGTATTAGTAGTTTTAACTCTTTGAAATGCTTCCTATCCCTGTATGTTTCTTTATTTAGCTATTGATTCCTTCTTTCTTACCAGTGATTTTTCTCAGATAGGAACAAGTTGATTTTTCTGTCTTAAACTAGGCTATGTAACCAAGATTCCATCACAATTATCACTAGATATAGATACAGTCTTTTCCTGAAGATGGGGATTGTATAGCCTTAACAGCAGAATAGAACAATTTAAACAGAAAAGTAATGCTGGTATTTCACGGTAAAAACACAAAAAGTCAGATACTAGGACTTGAACTAAATTGTGGACAGACACCCAAAATGATTGGTACTTGTTTCTTGAACCCAGATTCAAGAAACAGATAGGCTTTTGGGGGGTTTTGCTGAACACATTTTTTTTCTTTTATTAAACATTTGGTAGATTACTTTGAAACAACTTCTAATCCTGTATATTTTCTAAAACTACTGAATCAGAATTTCATTGACATTTTATCCAGTTGAAGTCCCCAGCAGAATTTAGATGTTTTGCTGGCAAAGCCATTGATCTACTCTTTGGCTTTATTATTTTCAACAGAATTGCAATGGGAGCAACAGGCTCCTCAGAAAATAAATGAAAATGCTTCAGTGTGTTCTCAAACCTTATCTAAATTAATCAGTTTTCTGCAATGTGCCAAATTGCAGAAGGGAGACGATGTCCATTCCAAATGCACACAAACTAATTATTCAGATTTGGTCTTGGTATTTTTGAGATTGATTTTCCAAGGTTGTCATAAGTAATGGAAAGCTCTCAAATAAATGACCATCTGGACCATCTGGTTTTTTTGCTTGCTACTCTTCCTTCACCTAAATTGTGCCCTGCCATCTTGGTCCCTTTTCTGCCTGGCACACCGTTATATAGTAAGCACAAAAGTCATTTTCCCTAACAAGTCTTCTCAAGTTGCCCTCATATAGCTTTTAGACCTCTCACCAGTGCCTTCACCCTCACAGTGCCTCTACTAAAAGATTTTATATTATAAAGTTGTCTCCTTCACTACTTTGGACTTCTGGATACCTGGGACCCTGTCTTTTACATCTTCCATTTCTTGGCCTAGTAACTGACTTATGTACTCAGTTTGCTGAATGAATTAATGCCTGCATAAGTAAATACAAGGGATTGATACCTGCTGCTGGGTAATGAAATATATCTGAATGATATATCACTATGAAGAGCCATCTTTAAGGAAATATCAATTCTTCTCCCCACAACTGGTCTCCTTTATCACTTGTCAAGTCTCACCCCAACCCCAGTCAGGGAAGGCAGAATAGGTGCTCACATTTGAAATTTGATCACTGCAAACAACCTCTTATTTTTTAGGGAAAATTAGCAGTCTCAAAATTTCCAGAAAGCCTAAATTTATTGGATGCCTTTGCTCTTCACTCTGTTAATAAAGACAGAAGTTTTGAGAGTTCCTGAAGAAGAAATTCACAGACTATCCAGCCTGTTAGTTTGTCTGCGTCCTAACAGCTTAATGAAAAGCCATGACACAGGCAAATAATGCCTGACCCAAAAAATTATGGTAATAGCTCAGAGAGAAAGTAACCCTAGACTTCTTATGGAAATTGGCATTTATTTAATTATTGATTGATTGATTGATTGAGATAGGGACTGACTGTGTAGTGCAGGCTGGTCTTGAGCTCACTGCATAGCCCAGACTGGCCTGCAATTTATGGTGATCCTCCTGCCTCAGCCTCCCAAGTGCTGGGATTACAGGCATGTACTACCACGCCTGGCTTCTGACCTTGAAATTTAAGAGCATTACCTTTATTGTTTAGCTTTATTTCAAGACGGTCTCCAAGCCATGTTATGACAAAGCTTAGCCTGTTTAGATTGTTTCAGCTCAGAAACTCCAGAGCCAAGAAACAGCAGAAAACCAATTAAAGAATTAATCCTTCAAGTTATTTGAACATTGAATACCCTGTAGTCTCCACTATCTCATTTGATCCCCATAACAAACCAATAAAGAAGACAAGACAGAACTGCAACCCCATCTTACAATAGCTAAAGAAAGGTGGACTGACTTACATGAGCTTGCTAAGTACAGAGTAAGATCTAGAACCTAGGTCTTCTGACTTCTAGTTTGATACTTTGGCATTTATAGCTTTTTGCCATTTAGTTCCCATGCATATAACTAGTCTTCCAAACTGGAACATAAACTCTCCCAGGAAACTGCTTGAGTAATACTTCTCTTGTCTGTCCCTTAGGCATAGAATTTAGGCTGTGAATTTTGGCTTTCTGGAACTTTGAGACTGCTAACTTTCCCTCAAAATTAAGAGCCTGTTTGCAGTTCTCAAATCCCAAATAGGAGCAGCACCTATTCTGCTTGCCCTATTTTGCTCAGCAAAATAAAACACAATGTATTCAACCAACCCACTCTTAAACATCAGCTCTTGGGTACGTTTCCCTCTTTTCCAGGTGGGTAAATGCAGTGGCAAACCTCACAGTAAATATCAACTGGTTCCTTTTGGTATTACCTGAGTGGAAAGCCGCAACAATGGTTGGTAGTTCCCCTAGGTGTACACCTTCTTACCAATTACTCCTTTTCCAAGTAACTTGATTACCAAGTCACTGATTTGATCCAGTTCCCTTTTTCCTATGATGCATATATACAGATTGAGAGGAAAAATAACTATTTTAGTGTATGTGCTACTGAACTGAGCACAAGAGGAAAAATAACTAGATCAATTCCATTCAGGGTTCCTTGGGAGTGGAAAAATGTGAACTGGTTATCTAGTAAGGGTTGCCAATCCTCTCCTCCCTCTCTTTAGTACTTTCCACCACCAGGGTCTGAAGACAGCTACTTATCCTCCACTGTCTTCTTATACAGCAGTTGGAAGGATCCAACTAAATTGCTAAAACTGGGAGCTTCCCAAGGGCACAATGTATTCCTCTATCACTGCAAACCTTATCTCTTCTGGTACAACGTAGATACTTGATAAATATCGAATCAATGAACTACTCCAAATTCATTTTGAGAGCAGATATGACTTGCTCAATGTCTTATACTGAATTTTTAGATAAATTAGTTCTTGACAATAGCTTAATGTGTAGTCTTTCTCCAAAGAGCATTCACATTTTAAAAAGAAATATTCCTACCTTTATTTAAAAGAATAATTTGATGGTGGGAATTGTGACTTGGAAGAGATAATAAATTGTCAACTGTCTCTTCCAGGTAAGTCTGGCTATACATAATTAGAAGTTTTGTCTGAAAGATTTGCTAGTGATCATTCGGTGGAAGAGTAGGTTATCTCATCTGTTCCCATTGTATTCTACAGAGACAGGGATCTCAGGAGGCTGGGTCATTTACTTTGGTCATTTTGGCACCCTCCCTCCTTTGACAATTGCTTCTAAATATTTCATGAGTGATTTCTCAGTGCTACTATATGGGTTGAATTGGTGGAATATCTCTATTTCTCTGACAATGAAAGGATGGAAAGATTGAATTGGCATCATATCTTAGTGCTCTGGCTCAGTCAGTGTAGTAAGTTGCTCCAAGAAGAGAAAAGCCAGAAAGAAGTGCCCATACCTAACACGGTGACGGTGATGATGCCTTGGTTTTTGCCAACAAAATCTGGGGGGTTGTTAACGTCGCAGATGTAAATTCCACTGTCAGCTGGTTGCATGTGTGATATAGTTATAGACGCATTACCTGGATTGGTGGACCCTATAACTCGACCTTTGAATTGTCCAATGCCTGAAGCTTCTCCACCTTCAGAATAGTAAATCTAGGACAGAAAAATAACAGAAATAAGAACTGGAGAGTGTTTAGGAGAAGTAACCTGGAATCTCCTTTTATTCACATTACTTTTGATAAGAAGCAGCATCTTCTTTCCACACAGAACAGATCTCTGTAGCCAAGAATTCTCAATTCAGAGGGACACTTAAATTTGTATAGCTACTCACAGCCATTAATCTCACTTGTGCCTCAAAGCAGCTCTGTGATGTCATCAAGGTGGGCCTGTTTTACAGAGGAAGGGACAGCTGAAGCCTATAAGACTCGACTCCTAAGCCTGGGATAAGAGATCAAGGCACTCACTTCAGGTCTACCTGAAGAAAAGTCATCATGCAACATACAAATGTCCAACAGGGGTGGCTAAAACCATTATTTTTACCATTTTTATAATCTTTTGATTTGAGTTTACTTTACCCAGTGAGACTATCTAGTTACCCTAAAAGTTCAACTATTCATATTCTTTTCATACACACATATTCCTTCAAATAAGCAAACTTGGATTTGTTATGTTTGTTAAAGTGTAGGATTTGAGCAGAAAGTTCCCTTAGAATTCATCTGGACCCATGCTCTCCTAGCAGTCATATAAGTATGAGATAATGTGAGCTAATGAAAGGCCTAGGAAGTGCTTACTCACAGTTACCATCTTTCCCCCCATGTCAAAGAAGTGAACTCAGACCCAGAGAGATTAAATGGCTCATCCACAGCCACAAGGATTCATTTATCATTACTATAATTTAGTAGATTGAAGAAAGTTCTGGATTCTAGTCCCTCCATTAGAGAATGTAGGCACTTGGTTCATAATGGCAAATATGGGTAGGCACAGCATGAAATGGTAGAAAGAGACTTGGTCGAGGAGTCAGATGGCTAGGACTTTGGCCATGGCGCTGCCTTTAACTGACATAATCAAGGGATGTGGCCTCTAGTCATGCCTCCATGGCAACCTGCTCTGTGATAAGAAACAAAGTTATTTAATCTCTCTAACCTTTAGTTTCCACATCTGAATAAGAAACCAGAGCAATTTTTACAGTGTATGCTACATATTCCCAGAATGTAGGCATTTAGATTGATTTTAGGTGGTACCAAAATGAAAACCTAATAATTTTTATGTATTAGAAAGAGACATATCTAACACATCAAATATGTGACTTCACAAATATTGTTCGTTGGGGTGAGACTAAGGTATATGATTTTAAAGATTTTAAGAAACCAAGTCAGTACAGAAAACAACATTAAACAAATAATAATGCTGCTGATACACAAATATGACAAAAAACACAAAGAGGATACATGAGTATCCCATGACTGAAACATGAGAATCACTAGACTACGTAATCCCTGAGGTCTGGTCATAATTTACTTCTTAAGTGTAAACTCTTTGTGAGTTTCATATAAATGTATGTCATTCAGTGATTGTTCATTCTTTCAATTAACTGGCATTGCCTTAGCCCAGTGAGACTAATTATTTTCATAAAATTACTAAAAGTGTCCTATAGTTCATTTAATTCAATCCTCTCACTTTCAGAAGAAACTCAGACAGTTTAAAAATACATTTTCACACAAAATGAACAGTTTTAGGCCAGACTAGAATCCAGTTCACCTAATTTCTTGTCCAGTGCTCTTTATCTAATCAATAAAAGAAATAAAACAGAAAACAGAAACATATTGTCTAGATTAATTCAAATACCTTCTCCTTTAGTCACAAAATCAACGTATTTTAAGGCAGACAGAAAGGTAGATTTTGAAAGAAAATTTCAAAGAAACAAGCATATTTAAGGAGAAAAAAACACTCCTCTAGTTTTTCTAACATCAACATACTTTCTTTCCTGCTCTAAATATGGCAGGAATAATTATAATTCATTCATTCATACCCATGAAGTCACAAATTTTTGCCCTTTGTTTAACTTACAAATCAGAAAACCAATATTAATTCCAGGTACTCAAATGGGACAGGAAGAACCTCAACACATTAAAGGTCTTTTGCTTTCATTTGACTAGTCAACACAGAGCTTATTTACTTTCTAATTGATAATTTGAAGCCCTCTTGTCTCTTTCCTAGAACATAGCCTGCTGTCCAGCAAGAAAGCCTTTACAATCTGCCACTTCCTCTGCTCCCAAGATGACTTGGGACAGGTCAGCCCTGTTTTTTAATAATACTTATAACATCACAATGACATATTATATCAGCCCTAGCTGAGGCCCACACTAAGTCTCAGGATCCAGGTGAAAAAGCCCTTGTTTCTGCAAAGATCAAGAGGACAAGGGTGTGTTCTAGGCCAGGACTAGGTCATGAAAAAAAGCACCTACAAAACCTTTTTAGTTTAACATGAATCAAGGTGAAATTAGCACATAAACATTGAGGCTATGGACCTGTGATTTATTCATGAAAAGGATCTTCTCCACTCTCTTCTACCCTAGCTCTTCACACTGCAGCCTAATAAATTTTTCCATCTCATGAATGACACTAAAGGATAGGAATTGGGGTGAGGAAGGATAACAAAGGAGACTTGGCCTCAGGATGTTGTTTGAAAAGGAAAGTCCCCAGGGCTACATAACAGCCAGACACAGAGATGGAGGCATTTGCTGTTAGGGGTAGTCCACTGTGCAACACTGTCCTTGTAAAGAAAAAAAGAAAGAAATATTTTCCCCGAAACTGCTTATCTAATCACACAGGAAGGATTGCAACTTGGTTCCATTTTCCACAAAAGAATAATTCTTTCAAAAATCAAACCTGGGTAGTAGCCAAGGCCTGGCCCGTGATCCCTTGTGGCTTGTATACTTTCCAAAGAAAGAACATTGTCAATTTAGAGATCAAAGCAACTGAGGTCCAGGAAAAGATTCACATATTCAACATGCTGAATCCTTGGTGGGGGTAAGAGAAATCTTGCCTTAAGAAAACATATCCAAGTGTTCCTTTAAGTTGTGCTTGTTAATTTTATACCCACTTGCCCTTTGTGTCTGTGTTCATGGAAGATAGCCCTGTTTTCTCCCAGGGTCCTCTTTTCCTGTCCCAGTGATGAAGCTAGAGATTGATGGAGAGAGTCACGGTAACATATTAGTTATAAGACCCTCTTCAAGATCACTTAGCTATGGTTTCTAAATTTAAGGAGTCTTTAGGAGTCAGATGAATGCTGAAAAATTGGGAAATGGTTGGGAAGGAGTGGTGGGTAGCACTAGGATCATAAAGGATAGTGGGACTTTGGTGAATTGCAGAGACAGCAAAAACTTGGAAACAAACAAAGCCCCAGGATGACCAAGCAGAATACAGCCACTGAACAAATCTGGCCCAGAGGGCTCCAATTTGCAAACTCTGATTCATCCTTTTCTATTACAGAGGACACTGAGGTCCCATTAGAGGAAGTGAATTTACCAAGGTCACACCATCAATTTGCAGGCAGACCTGGAATCCACACCTCCTGCTTCCCACTGACTACACTGAGAGAGCACTCGTAGTCCTGCCTCAGGCAAGGAAGACAATTCTCAAGCACCCCTTTGGGGCCATTCCATCTGCTACTCCAGTGAAACCTTTTTCCTGCGCATTGCTACTATTCACCAGCCTGATATTCCCATGCTGAGAAGTTTCAGTATGTGATGCCCTTGACATTTTCTAGCCGCACTGCCAGGCTCCTGGGTTCCCTGAAGAACAGCCTTTCCGCTCTCAGTGTGCCAAGTTCCTAGCTACACAATGCTATGCAGCTGGGAGCCAGATTTGTCCTCAGCTTTCTTCAACTTTGTGCCACTGCTCTCAAACTAGAAGTTTGGTATAAATAGTTAAGTGTTGAAAGAATTCCATATGCTCTCTATCCCAGTCAGAATTGGAGTTACTAAATCTCATTAGCTTCAAGAGCTGCTTTTGCAGGTCCCTTTAAGAGACATAGAAGGTGTGGGTCCACTGTCAACCACCCATTCTTTCCCTTCCAGCTTTTTGCTTTCCACTACTGTTTATAAAGGGGGCATAGCCAAGAGAGTAAGGTAGCAAAGTTCTCAAGCCCAGAATTTTCTTTGCTCTGAAATGTGGGAGCTGGTATTGCACGTGGTCTTGCACATGGAATAGAATATGAAAAGAAAGGCTATCTTGTTCCCAGACCTCTTATTTACCAGTCTGCCATTTACTGGAGGTATCCGCCAGTTGAGTTACTACATTGTGGTACTTTGGAGTAAAGTCATAGAAGATTCCTGCTTAAGTGCATTTCTGTAGAGGAGAACAATGTAAACTGTCATCGCTTTCTGATGTCTCAGCATTAGATTAATATATAAGACTTAGCAAATATAGAGATCCCGGGAATGGAACTCAGAATACATAAACTTTGATGGGGATGGAGAGAAGATTTGTAATGTTTCTCAATAAGGGTGACACTAACATTTTGGGCAATTTGTTGTATGGGTCTATCCTAAGTATTGCAGCACATTTAGCATCTCTAGCCAACACCCACTAAATGCCAGTAGTGACTCCCCATCCTAGCAGTCAAATCAATACCCTTTTCATTCTCAAGTGGCCCTGAAATGATGAAACATTTCTCCATATACACACACATCAGCATTTGAAAAGAATTTAATATGGTACCTGTAGAGGACAGACCATGTTAGAAAATCTGAGAAGCCTAAGACTACAAAGACACTGTGTCCTGGAAAGAAGTTGTTCAAATTATATATGTATTTGGGGATATGTGGGTGGCAAAAGATTTTTTCTACTATATTTTAGAAGAATGTTGTCTAAAAAACCACACTAAGCAGGATCAGTGTGTGTTCTATTCGTAGGCAAGTGAGGTCTCTGTGGTTTTACCCTAATACCCTGAGTGGAAGAAGAGACCATCTATGTGACCTCCCAAACTTCCATGCTAGCCTGACTGTACCGAGCCTAGAATTTTCAGGTGAGTTTCATTGCTAAGGGGCTATCTGAAGCTGTTCATATTTTCTTTGGAGGAGGTCTCTGAGAGGAGGACCATGCTAATGAATATCTTTTCCTCCAGGTTACAAGACTTGTAAGATACTTCTATAGTCTCCATTTCACCCAAACAACCTCTTGTAAGAGACAATAAAATGCAGCACCTGCTCCTGTGTACTAAGAAACACCAGGCCTCAGAGTCAATTGCTACTTTAATACAATAATTTTGGAAGGGGAGAAGAAGATGGGCATGTGGCGAAAGCTGGCACTGTCGTAATCAGGGCAGCAACAGAGCACCGAATCTCTTGGAAGAGGCTGAAGATTTCCAGACATCAACATGAGAATGTAAACTCAGGATGCTCCCAGTTTTGTCAAGGGCTTATGCTGGTCCAGATTGTTACCCTCCTATCCCACTCCTAAAGCTGGTGCCAGTCCTCTAGAGACGCCAAACAGTGAAGGGGTCTAGTAGTACACCAATAGGTGTTCTTACCTGAGAGGTCCAGCTACATCTTCCCCGAGCATCTCTTGCATGCGTCATTTTTAGACACTCACTGACTGTCTTTTCCTCCATACCCTCAGTATTGAGGCACGGGCTGTGCTGTGTTTGAGCAGAAATGGGTGGATCTGAGAGCCGAATGCTACATGGTATAATGTCACACCAACCCAGGAGTTGAATTGAATTACTCATTAGTCAGTCTGGCAACATCTTACTCCTATAAGTCATAGAATTGTCTAATAACATAGTAGTCTCTTTTCAGCATCCCCAAAATGTCCTGCCAGCAATACTACATTAACCAACAATGTGCTCTACAGAATTTCAAATGCATGAAAATGTTCAAAGAAGAAAGGGACTTACAATGGAAGCCAGGTACCATTTTGAAAAATACTATCTCAACCTAGGATTTGATAGCTCCTTGGCTAATCACTCTCTGTTCAAAGACTAGATGCAACAGAGGAGTCTGGGCTTTCCCTCTAGCTGTAGGGGCCTGACAGGCAGTGGAATTGTGAGCTAACCTTGAGCCAGAATGTCCCTGCTCTTTAGTTATACTAAGTATATTATGTTGGGCTGGATTGCCTAGTGCCCATTATTCAGTTCCTCTGGTATACCATGGAACATGGGTGGGATTAAGGTTTTGAAAAATCACTATTTAAGGAGTGGTGATTCTAATAATAGTAATTTATATTCACTGAGTGCCTACAGTGTGGAAGGCTTTCCAGGACTTCACAAGCATTGCCTTATTGAATTCTCTCATTGAAGCTAGCGGGTAGGTAAGTAGCCTGTTTTACAGATGGGAGAACTAAACCTCTGACAGGCCAAATGACATGTCATTCAGTCAGTAAGTTAGTGGCAGAGCAAAGAGTAGAACAGTCCTGTATCAGGAGTTTTCCACTGGGACTCCAAAATTATTCATCTGCGAAAGCAAAGAGAAGCACATGACTGGGGAGAGAAAGAAGGGATTCCAGTTCTCTAGAAGTAGAGACCTAAAGAGGGTTGTAATGAGGATCTGGCTAGGGCAAGCTGAAGCAAGACAGGAGAACAGGAGAAGGAGAAAATTTGTCTTGGCGGGGAGTCGTTGTCCTCAGGCCAAGAGAGGGCTCTTCTCTACCTTGCTTTCTCTTTGGCTAAGGCCCATGCATAGCGCAGGTTTCATACAGCTTTAAGATGAGGCAATATGTTCTCCCTGATTCGGAAGCTCAGTGCAGAGGACCTCATTTGATCTTGACACTCCAAAAGAGGAAATATCTGAAATTACTTGCCCCAACTGCACCTGGCATTCTAGAGGAGGCAAATGGCAACTAAATAAACAAACTACTCATTAACTTTTCTGTTAAGCTATTTTTAAGAGATGTCCTGACCTCAAGCCACCCTCCATTCAATCACCTATACCTTCTTCCTCCTGCATTTCCAGGCCAAGAAAAAGCTGGAGAAAGGATCCTTCAGTTCTGAAACTCCCTCCCAGCTTCTTACTAGCTACACAGTTCAACTGAGCTGTGACCATATAAATTCCCATGTCAGAAGAGACATGCAGAAGAATTTGTGCTTTTGAATTCAGACTAGGCTTGCTTGGCTTCCAAGTAGTCAAACATCTTGATTTGAGTTATCAAGTATAAACCATTTCAAAATAATTAGCAAAGCCTCCCAAGCCCCTACTGGAAAAATAGTCAAGAAATTGGATTTAAAAAAGAATAAAAGATTATATGTGATTGGTGCCATCTACATTCTAAGAGCAACCTGAAAAGGAAAGTGATAATTTCTTAGTTGACTCCAACATGCAAAGCCTTAGGACAGGACATTTTGGGTGATGGAATCAGTAGAATTACTGTTGTCATTGCTTCTGGCATTACTGTTGCTGATGAATCATAATGGTGTTTACAAGGGAGAAAACTTATAGGACTTAGTTTTTTTTGTTTTGGTACCGGGGATCGAACTCAGGACCTTGTGCATGTGAGGCAGGCAGCGGAACCACTGACCTAAATCCCCAGCCCGTAGGACTTAATTTTTTTCAAGTTTTTTCACATTTATGTCAATTGAGTCCTCATGAGTGTTATTGATCTACCATATTTTTTAGAGAGGCATTGAGTGATTCAAATATTTTTCCAAGGTAATGAGTAGTGACCAAAATTGTTTAACTTTAATTAGAGGGTTGCAATGATGAGATCTCCCCCTGAACAGTGTTTCCTTTCAAGCAAATGTTCAGGATCTCTGAAAAAGAGAGGACTCGGCACCTGAAATTGGCTGAAACAACACTGGATAAGATGTGGTTCTTCCAAGCTACTGCCCACCTCATCCCCCACCTCTGCCCTTAGGCCTACCCCAGCCCACAACTTGCTCTCCCTATATTTTTCTCCTAGCCAACCCCTTCCTTACCTTTAAGGCCCAACTCAACAGCATCCAACTATTCCAAACCATGTGGAGTGGACTCTTCTTTAAACTCCATTTTGAGTCATGCATCTTTATGAGAACTTGATGAAAGCTTTCCCCTTGTCTTGAAAGGGATATGTGTAGGCATGCATGGCATACATGCTCACATAAGCGCATGTGCACATACACACACACACACACACAAACACACCCCACTGAGTACACAATTTTAATCTTCAGGATAATTTAAAGAAGGAATTTTCTTCAAGGCCAGATAAAGAAAATCTGTGAATGGGCAGCTTGTCTATGGATCATTATCCCCAGGTGAGATTCACCCACTTTTGTGTGGCATCTTCTTCCCCTAGATGCTTTGCCTACTCACCCTATCTTCTAGCCTCATGCTACTGTTGGTTACCCAGGATTCATCACTACCATGGCTTCTTTTTACCCATCCGATCAGTCTCCTTCCATAAGGACTCAGACTGAAACATTGAGCTACCTCACTTGACAGGCAGATGCCAGATATTAAGTTAGGCAGAGAGCTGCTGATCTATCTATTAGGACTTCTATTTGAACCAGAATCTTCTGGAAATAAAAGGGAGATGTTTGAGGGGAAAGCTCTTTCAAAACTACTGTTCATTTCACATATGAAAAGGTCTACTTCTATCTACTCTAGAATGCATGATACACACAGTGTTGACCTACATAAAATTGAGATAACAATATCAATATATATGAAGAGAACACAAAGGCCAAGTCACCTATATGGTGGTATTTCATAAACATCTATTTTCAAACTCTTCATATCTCAGGTTTTGTCACTGTTGTCACTGGTATATCATTCCTTCATACACTTACCACCAAAATTTTCAGTCAGAGCTACCAAAGGGGAAGAGTTTAAGAAGAGAATCCTTACAGAAATTGGCTCCACCTCCTGTTTATGGAGAAAAGACCACTGGATGGAAAGCTGGTTCCGGGAGGCCACAGTGGTGGTGAACATGCAGACGAGAGTGACATCAGACCCAACAGTCACATTCACGAAACTATCTGGGATGGTCACTTGCACAACACTAACTTGACCTGAAAAGATAATAATCAGAAAAACAATAGTACACACTTAAATTCTGACGACAATCATTTTTTATTTCTTTTGATCACAAAACATTTTTAAAGACATCTTATTAAGTGAATCCAAGCTGTGGAGATGAAGGCAGAATGAACCATACAGAAAAACTAAGCAAGCAATGTGGTCACAGAGAGGAAAATTTCTTAACAAGTTAAAATGTGAAGACATTCGAATCCTAGATGATGATGAGGTCATAGCAATGAATTGGGAATTCCTTCTGTGTAAGGGTTGCCTTACACAGAGGTTCTTAGAGTCCTGTTTGGGCATCTAAAATAATCCATAAATTTGGAGAAAAATCACCCCACTTTGCCCAGGATCAAGAGGGTTTCCAAAATATGGGACATTAAGTTTTAAAACCAAGTAAGTCTCAGGCAAAGCATATTGGTTTTTCTAGGGCTTTCAAGGATAAAATCTAGGAAAATCTCAGGTAAATAGTGACGAGTTGGTCATCCTGTCTCTAAGAACACTTGGAGGCAGGGTGAACTATAAAACAAAGTAGTAATACTAAGATTTTGTTCTATTTCATTTTCATCCTCTCATTTGTATACAGGAAAGTTTTGCAAATTCTGCATAACAGGTAATTAAGTTATTGCCTTGGCAGCTAATGCAATGTGTGCTTGTACGTTTCTCTTCTTTTTTAGTTTTAATTTCAAATGCAAATAACTCACACAAAGAAATCTTTTTGAGGTTGTCAATAACTGTTTTTGTAATGCTGAGGATTGAATCCAAGACCTCGCATATGGTAGCCAAGAGTTCTGCTACTGAGCTACACTCCCCACCTCATCTCAATATTTTTTAATTAAAATCTTTATTGAAGTAATTATAGAACCACGTGAAGTTCTAAGAAATATGCAATCCACTGTTCTTACTCATGTTTCACCTGCTGTATTTGTAGAAATATGTATTATGGTTTATATCTAGATGGCCCCCCAAAAAACCTCACGCACTCATAGGTGCAGCTTTTGGGAAGCGATTGGGTCATGGGTGCCTGATATTCATCAGTGATTGACCAGTTCATAGCTAAATGTAATATTGGGAGGAGAAGTCTTTGTTGAAGGAGGTGGGTCACAGGGGCCATGGTCTGACAGTTTCTATCTCCCTCTTTCCCCCTTGATCATTCTCTGCTTCCTGCCACCATATCATGAGCTGTTTCTTCTTTGCCATGACTCTCTGCTATACTGAGGCAGGAGATTAGGACATGGCAGGCCAGCTGGAAAATCAGACATGACCTGTCAATCACAGGAGAGTTGTCAAATCATGGTCAGGATAGGTGTGCAGAGCAGCTGTGGAGCCCTAGGTGAGACAACCCAAATCTGATGTCAGAAGGCGATACAAAAGACTGTGGCCGCTGGCTTCATTCCCACTGTTTTTGCAGTGGCCTGCCTTGCATGCAGGGCATATTTTCTCTTCTGAAGATTTCTTCCTCTTGAGCACTCCTTTCTTATTCCTTTTTAACTCCTTTTTCTTCTTCTTTTAGCTTAAATAAATGTTGAATTTTTATGTCCACTGGTTGTCTTGTACAATTCTCTGAATTCAAGCAAGAGCCTGAAAAGAACCACTGGCCACCTCATCATACAATACTACCCTGCCTTGGAGCCAACTGACTATGGACAGAAACCTCCACAATGTGACCCAAAATAAACCATTACTTTTTAGAGTTGTGGGCATCACATATTATGTCTCAGCCACAAGAAAAGTAACTAAGACAATATGTATGTGTGCATTTAACTTTATTCAATTTTATTACTGATGTAGGTTTGTTTACCCAGTACCAAAGTCAAGATATTAAGCATTTCCATCAACACAAATATCCATGTTCTCCTTTTATAATCACACCCACCTCTATCCTAAACTCTATCTTTGCTCCTAACCATTCACAACTACAAATCTGTTTTCTATTTCTAAAATTTTGTCATTTTGTAAATGTTATATAAATGGAATCCTAGTAAACTTTTGGCACCGTCTCTTTTAACTCAGCATAATTACTTAAAAATCCACTCAGGTTGTATCAGTGGATTTTTTGTTGCTTATTAGTACTTGTTGTGAAATGTGCACCATAGTTTAATCATTCATATATTGAAGGACATCAGAAATGTTTCCAGATTTTGTCTATTGAATAAAAATTCAATGAATGTTCATGTACAGATGTTTTTGTGTGAACTTAAATTTTCACTTCTCTGTAGCAAAGCTAACAGTACTTTTGTTGGGTAATATGGTAGTTGCATGCTTAGTTTATATATATAAATATAAAGTCACTGATTTCCAGAGTGGCTATATCATTATACATTCCCATTAATAATGTATAAGTGATTTTGTTTCTTTATATACTCACCAGCATTTGGCATCATCACTCTGCTCTATTTTAGCCATTCTGTCTGATAGGTATTTATATAGAAATATATTGTTGTATTTCTATTTGCATATCCTTAATGGCTAATTATGCTAAACATATTCTCATATGATTATTTGCCACTTGTACATCTTCTTCAATGAAATATTTGTTCATATCTTTGCCCATTTTCTAACTAGATTGTTTAATATTTTATGCTTAAGTTTTGAGAGTGCTCTATATAACGTAGATGCTAGTCTTGTTTGGTAAAGAGTTTTATTTCTTCCTTTCCAATATGTACGAGTTTTATTTCTTTTTATTGCTTAATTTCAATGGCTATAACTTCTAGTATTTTGTTAAATAATACAAATGGAATTCAGTATTTCACTATAAAGTACAGTACAGTGTTAGCTGTAGGTAACTTGCAGACGTTCTTTTATCAACTTGAAGTAATTCTCCTCTGTAGTGGATTGAAATGTGTCTTTCAAAAAGATCAGTATCTGTGAGCTTTACCTTATTTGGACACAGGATCCTTGTGCATATAATTAAGGATATTAAAATAAGATTATCATAGATTTGGGTTGGGCCTTACTGTTGTCTTTATAAGAAAAGGGAAAAGAATATTTGATACACAGACTCCTAGAAGGAAAGGCCATGTGAAGATGGAAGCAGAGGCTGGAGTGATACATGTACAAGTCATGGAATACTGAGAGTTGACAGCAGCCATGCAGGAGAGAAGGGTGGCATGGATTTTTCTTTCAGAGCCTTAAGAAGTAACCAGCCTGGCTAACAATTTGATTTAGGATTTCTGGCCTCTAGAACTGTGAGATTATATTTTTTTCTTGTTTTAAGCCACCTAGTTTGTGGCAGTTTGTTACAGTACCTCTGGGAAGTTAATACACCATTTATTCCCAACTCACTGAGAGTTTTACAGTGAATGGATATTGGATTTGGTCAAATGCTTTTTTCTGCACTGAGTATGGTAATATTCTTTCTTTAGCCTGTTTATATGGTGGGTTGCATTGAATAATTTTTAAATGTTGAACCAAACTTGTATAACTGAAGTAAAATCGTACTTGGTCATGATGTAAATTTCTTTACGCATTGTTTGATAAAATTTGCAGTAAATTGTTGGCTTTTTAAATCTAAACTCATGAGACATATCGGTCTGTAGTTTTCTAATTTTGTATTATTTTTGTCTGGTTTTAGTGTCAGAGTAATACCAGCCTCATAAAATAAGTTGAATGTGTTCTCTCTTCAATTTAGGGGGAAAGAAAATGTGTAAAATTGATGTTAATTATTCTTTAAATGTTTGCAGAATTATGCACTGAAAGTACGTAGGCCTGAAGATTTCCTTTATAGGGGCTTTTAAAATTATGAATCCAATTTCTTTAATGGTTACAGAAATATTTAAAATATCTTTTTCTTATCTATTTCTTCTTAGTAGTTGTTTGTTGAGGAATTAGCCCATTTCTTCTAAATTTTCAGACATATGAATGAAACATGGTTCATAGTATTCCCTCTCTCCTTCACTGTTTTCTGTGTTTGTTTGTTTGTAGTGCTGGGGATTGAAACCAGAGCCTTTGCACTGAGTTACATACCTACAACTTTTTTTCATTTTTTATATTGAGACAGGGTTTCATTAAATAGTTAAATTGACCCAGGCTGAGCTTGAACTGTGACCCTCCTGGCTCAGCCTCCCACAATGCTGGGATTACAGGCATGTGCCACTATACCTGGTTGTATTCCCTTATACTGTATTTTTAATGATCACAAGATTGTATGGTATCACATATTTCATCTCTCATATTGGTGATCTGTGTGCTAGGTCAATTTTTATCAGTTTTGCTAGGGGATAGTCAATTTTATTGATTTTTCTTAAAAATGTGGTTTTCATTTTATTGATTCTTTTGATAGTTTTCCCTTGTAAATTCCACTGATTTCAGCACTTCATTAGTTCCTTCCTTTGGCTTGCTCTGTGTTTATTTTGGTTTGCTTTTTCTAGATCCTTGATATAGAAACTTAAATTATTGACTTGAGACCCCTTTTCATTTTTAATATAAGCATTCAATGTAAATTTCTCAGTATAGCTTTAACTGTGTGTATTTTTTTCAGTATTTGTATTTTCATCTTCATAGTTTTTTTAATCTTATTGTTTATTGGTACTCTTTAATTATACAGTACAGTTACATTCATCATTGTGATCTTGTACCATTATATGACAGATCTTGGTTCTCATTTTTCCCCATGCCCCTGGCCTCCCTTCACTCCCTCTACCCTCCCCTATTTAGAAAGACTTTGTTTCTGCTTTTCCTTTTTTCACATTTTTTCTTTTCCCTTATTTACTTTCCCCTACCCTTCTCACTTCCTCTACTTCCTTAGCCCTTTTCTTCCTATTTTTCATTATCAGTTATACCATTTGAATCTTATTTACACTCTTAGTTTTTCACAGCAGAGAAACTATTCAGTATTTACACCTGTGTCTTATATATTTCACTTGAGAGTATGGCCTCAATATGTATCCATTTTCCTATGAATGACTCTAGTTTCTCATTCTTTATAGCTGAGTAGTATTCCATTTTATAGCAAAACCACATTTTCTTTATCCAGTCTCCAACTGATAGG